AGCTTAACATGCAGCATCACAATACTGGCCCCTGTTGCAAAAAATTTTTAAGCTCCATGCATAGTTTTTTCATAAGCATTTCCATAAACTTTTGGAAGACTCCCTTGTGGTTAATAAATGTGTCTTACTCTTTCACCTGCTTTTAGATTTTCTCTTTAACCATGCTTTTTTTTTTTTTTTTTTAAGATTCCTTTATTTACTTCAAAGTCAGTTACACAGAGAGAGGAGGAGAGGCAGAGAGAGAGAGAGAGAGAGAGAGAGGTCTTCTATCCGATGGTTCACTCCCCAATTGTCTGCAACAGCCGGAGCTGTGCCAATCCGAAGCCAGGAGCCAGGAGCTTCTTCCAGGTCTCCCACGTGGGTGCAGGGGCCCAAGGACTTGGGCCATCTTCTACTGCTTTCCTAGGCCATAGCAGAGAGCTGGATTAGAAGTGGAGCAGCCAGGACTAGAACCAGCACCCATATGGGATGCCGCTGCTACAGGCCAGGGCGTTAACCCGCTGCGCCACAGCGCCGGCCTCAAAACTTTGCATTTTTTTTTTTGACAGGCAGAGTGGACAGTGAGAGAGAAAGCAGAGAGAAAGGTCTTCCTTTGCCGTTGGTTCACCCTCCAATGGCCACCGCACCTGGTGCGCTGCGGCCGGCGCACCACGCTGATCCGATGGCAGGAGCCAGGTACTTCTCCTGGTCTCCCATGGGGTGCAGGGCCCAAGCACTTGGGCCATCCTCCAGTGCATTCCCTGGCCACAGCAGAGAGCTGGCCTGGAAGAGGGGCAACCGGGACAGAATCCGGCGCCCCAACCGGGACTCTGGTGTGCCGGCGCCGCTAGGCAGAGGATTAGTCTAGTGATCTGCGGCGCCAGCCTAAAACTTTGCATTTTTTAAAAACATTTTGGACTGGTGCTGTGGCATAAAAGGTTAAGCCTCCATCTGCAGTGCTGGCATCCCTTGTGGGTGCTGGTTCAAGTCCTGGCTGCTCTGCTTCTGATCCAGCTCCCTACTAACGCACCTGGAAAAGCAACAGAGGATGGTCTGTTTCCTTGGACCCCTGCACCCATGTGGGAGACCTGGAAGAAGCATCAGGCTTCTTGTTTTGACCTGGCCCAGCCCTGGCTGTTGCGATCATCTGGAGAGTGAACCAAATGAACTCTCTCTCTCTCCTTCTCTATCTCTGCCTTTCTAATCAATCAATAAATCTTAAAAAATCTTTATTTGAGAGGCAGAGAGACAGAGAGCTCTCATTTCCTGGTTCATTCCCCAAATGCTGCAGACAGTCAGGGCTCGGGCAAGCTGGAGCTAGGAGCTGGGAGGCCATTCTGGGTCTCCCATATGTGTGGTAGGGTCCCAAGTACTTGAGCCATCACTGGCTGCATCCCAGGATCTGCATTAGCAGGAAGCTGGAGTGGAGTGCAGCTAAGATTTGAACGCACACACTTTCCTATGGTGTGCAGGCATTGCAACTGCTTGGCCACATGCCTGCCCTCACACCCATGGCTTCAATCCTGGGTTGAGCCAGGCAGAAGCCAAGAGCCAGGAACTCCATCTGGGTCTCCCACATGGGTGGCAGGGGTCTAGTACTTGGGCCATCATCTGCTGCCTTCCCAGGTGCATTAGCATGAAGCTAATGGATTGGAAGAGTAGGTAGGACTGAAACCAGCATCGTGATACGGGATTCTGGTGCTGCAGGCAGTAGCTTAACCTGCTGCAAGGCCATGCTGTCTCTTCCCCCACTCCTTGCCCCCACACACATTGTGTGTGTGTGTGTGTTTAAGATTTATTGTATTTATTAGAAAGAGCCACAGAGAGAGGTAGAGACAGAGAGAGAGGTCTTCCATCCACTGGTCCATTCCCCAGATGGCTGCAAAGGCCGGAGTTGCGCCGATCTGAAGCCAGGAGCCAGGAGCTTCTTCGGGTCTCCCACCAGGTGCAGGGGCCCAAGGACTTGGTATCTTCTACGGCTTTCCTAGGCCATGGCAGAGAGTTGGATCCGAAGTGGAGCAGCTGGCACTCGAACCGGCGCCCATAGGGGATGCCTTCGCTTCAGGCCAGGGCGTTAACCTGCTGCGCCACAGCGCCAGCCCCCACACATTGTGTTTTAATCCTATCTTTCCTTGAACTTTTCCAGTCTTCCTCACCTATGAGTGCTGGCTCATCCTCCACGGCCTTGTGCTCTAACAGGAGGGAGACAAGCCCCCAGAGGGATTGTGATCCTCAGATGGGGCGAGAACTTGAGCGTGGGGGAGCTGGAGGCAGGGCCCCTACTTGACCTTGAGGGCCAAGAAACGCATTGCAGGTTCTGTAAGGATCAGAAGCCTATGAGGATGAGTCAGACATGGGTGCTGGGAGAAAACACGTTGAGTGTGACAAATAAATGTCAGAGAAAGCCCGAGTGTTTGAAGAAACGTGGTTATTTTTCAGCTTGTTGGAGTGGCCCGACAAGAGCTGAAGCATTTCTGTCTTTTCTTTTTAAGAGGTTTATTTATTTACTTGAAAGGCAGAGTTGGGAGAGGGAGGGGTGGGGGGAGGAGGAAGGGGAGAGGGAACTTCTATCTGCTGGTTCACTCCTTACATGGCTGCAACGGCCAGAGCTGGGCCAGGCTGAAGCCAGGAGCCGGGAGCTTCTTCCGAGTCTCTGACATGGGTGCAGGGGCCCAAGCACTTGGGCCATCGTTCCCTGCTTTCAGAGATGGATCAGCAGGGAGCTGGATCGGAAGTAGAGCAGCCAGGACTCAAACTGGCTCCCATATGGGATGCTGGCGCTGAAGTTGGTAGCTTGACTGGCTACGCCACAGCGCTGCCCCCTCCCCACTGCATCCCAACACTTCTTGAGCACTTCGACAATATCTGGGTCTCCCTGTGCTCTGCCCTCCACCTTGTCACCGTGCCAGGCAGCAGCTGGAGCTCAGTACATAGTAGGCGCATGACTCAGATTGGGACCCAGGAGCCTTGGGGAGAGGAATGCGCCCCCTTGGCATCCTGCTGACCCTCCGGGGCTCCTCTGGTGTGTCTGAGCGATGAGGTGGGTGACTTAGCTGAAGGCCCGCCTACCGCAGATTTGCGCAGGAGAGCCTGCCCACAGAGCAGTGGTGCCCCAGATAGTGTCAGCCAATTAATTCCTGAATACTGCAAGTTGGCCGAGGCCTGCTGATTTGATCTTATCTGTCTTTAAAGACTGATCTGCAATCAGTCCCATTGCAGCTGGACCTGCTTCCCTCTCCCACAACTAATGGCAGGGATCTAATTACCTCATCAACCTCTAATTTATTTATGATAAAGCTGAGGTTAAAGAGAAGGAGGTCCTTCAGGGACCTTCTGTGAAAGCTTTTCTTTCCCCATCTCCTCCCTTATGCCTGATAAAAACAAAAGAAATCAAATAAACAGGCCAAAAAAACCCTTTTTTTTTTGTCTCTGGCAAGTTGGGATTGTTTTTATTTACGAATTTAAATAAAGAAACTTCCTCCCCATAGCTGGGTGGAGGGCAGCTGTGTTGAGTTAGCCTGGGCTGTGGACTCCCAATGGGTTAATCCATCTTTCATTCAGGACTCAATGAAAGCAAAGGAAGCAACATTCAAAGCCAGCACACAGCTCCTGGGTGTCCTGGCTTCCTGGCCACAAGACCACGCTTATCTAAGCCACCTGGGAATACTCAGTGCAGAAATATGTGGAAGAGGGGCTGGTGGTGTGGTACATCGCTGCATGCGATGCCGGCATCCCACATGGACTCCAGTTCGTGTCCTGGCCGCTCCACTTCTGATCCAGCTCCTTACCAAGGCCCCGGGAAAAGCAGCAGCGGGAGACGGTGCAAGTGTTCTTGGGCTCGCGCCACACCCATGGGAGCCTTGGATGAAGCTCCTGGCTTCAGCCTGGCCCAGCCCTGGCTGCGGCGGCCATTTCCACGGGTGAAGCAGCAGGTGGAAGATCTCTCATCTCTCTTCCCCTCTCTGCCACTCCGCCTTTCTGCTAAATAAATAAGCAAATTAAAAAAGTGTGGAATATCCTTTTCATGATCTCATGGCTCTGGTAAGAATTTGTGATATATCCTTTTGTTTACAAACAATACAATTCCATCCTTATATTCCTACGTTAAGTGCACAGGGATCTTTAAAAAATACCATACATGATATCCCTACCTAGGTGCGGTTTTGCTAGGGTTCCCCCACCACCACCACATTGACTGTGTTCGGGGCAACCAGTCAGATCATAGATCCAAGTCCAAATGGCTGTGGTCGTGTTTCAGAGGAGAGAGCTAACTCCTCACTATCCACGGGCGTTAACAGTTTGCAGTCCGCGCTATTACAAGCTGCGCCGCAAGAACCACTCGTCTGGGCGTTCCCCACTGAACCCCGCACTTCTCGCGGGCACCCCATGCGCCATGCACGCTGCTTTGGGGCTGGCGGGGGAAGACGCCCAGGAAAAGTCTCAAAGACAGCGAGCCAGGTTGAAAACGGGTCTCCAAGCCAACTCAGGCAGCCGACGAGGCCGCAGCGGTGTCGCCCCGGCTGTAAAAAGCCCGGGGGGCCCGGGGTCTCAGGGCCTGGACGCGCAGGCTGGAAGCGGGGCGTCCGCCGCGTGCCCGCGTTCCGCCTCAGGTCCGGGGACTACAGGCGGCAGACGTCCATTGCACGCCTTGCGCGGAGCCACAGGCGGGGCGCAGGTCCGGCGGGGCGGCGCGGGGCGGGGCCGGGCTGCGCGCGACCCTCGGCTCGCTCGGGCTGGTCCGGCCGGGGGCGGCCTCTCTGGCCCGGGCTCCCGCGCGGGCTCTATGACACCGCACTGGCTCGCGGGACGGGACGGGGCGGGGCCGCCGGCCGGGGAGATGGGAGGAGACCGCCCCACGCCGTACGTGAACCGGCTACGGACTCTCTCGCGAGAATTTAGAAAACGCCGCGCTTGCGCACTGCCACCGACCTGAGTGGCGGCGGCGGCGGGTCTGCCGGTGGGTGTTTGAGAGGCGGCAGGTAGTGTGGTGGCCGCCGCGGCCCCCGCCGGAACTCGCCACCATGAGTAGCACGTTAGCAAAGATCGCGGAGATCGAAGCTGAGGTAAGGGGCGCAGCGGGCGTTTCCTGCCGAGTCTGAGCATCCCTCCTTCGACGGCGTCGCTCCTGCCTGCTCCGCCGTCGGCTGCTTCGGGGACCGGGCCCCTCCGCTTCCCGCCTCCCCTCCCTCGGGGCCCGCGTTCCCTTCCCCGACTCCTGGTCCCGAGCCCGCTTATGTGGGGCCCGCGTTTGCTGACTGCTCTTAGCCCTAAGGCCCGCGTTCAGGCGGTCCTCGCCGCCTTGTGCCGTGTGCGCGGACCCCGTCTGACCCGGGTCACCGCCTGCTCCCCTTGCCCCTTGGGCTATCGGGGGTCCGTGCCCCCCTCCCGGAGTCTGGTTCCCCTCCCTTTTCTCTGAGCGACACCGAATTCCTGTCCCGTGCCCCAGCCCCGACCTGATGGCCTAATTCAGCGTCCCCCGCACCCCACCCCCCGTCCCGCGCTCGCTCCGCGCGCCCCCGCGATCTCCTTTTCCACGGTGCTGCCTGCGGCCGGGGCGTCCGGGAGTAAATTGGGTTGGTTCGATAGGAGTTGCTTCCACCTGCGCAGTGTGGGAGTCAGCGGCCACCGGCGTTCAGAATGGTGACCCTGGGTCAGGTGGGGGCCTTCCAGGTACTAGCAGTAGGAGAGTAGCCAGCAGACGGGTTTTAGGCTTAGTCTGACGACCCTGATCTTGTCGCTTCTCCTTGGGCCTCAGTTGTTGGCTCTGTAATAGGGAAATGAGCTGGATAATGGGGAAAATGGATTTTTTTTTTTTTTACCTTTTTAAAGGTTGAAAATGGACACAGTGACATTAGTAGGACCTGGATATGTGTGTGTGTGTGTGTGTGTGTTGGTGGGGGTGGGGAGAGTCACCCTCAGAGCTGAAAATGTGACCCTGTGGGAGCTACTTTGGTTTATAGCTGTGATTCATCCCTTGCAGATGGCTCGGACTCAGAAGAACAAGGCCACAGCGCACCACCTAGGGCTGCTGAAGGCGCGCCTGGCCAAGCTCCGCAGAGAGCTCATTACTCCGAAGGGCGGAGGCGGCGGCGGCCCGGGAGAAGGTTTGTGTTGCTCCCCGCTGTATTTTGGGTTATGATTTCTTGGAAAATAATACAGGCGTGTGATTTAAAAATAACATTTTTTGCTACCCACGTGGACTTGTCTTTTCGAAGCTTGAATTTCTGACTCGATTTTATTGTGCTGGTTTCTTAGGAAGTGAATAGGGCCGAAGTGAACCGTGGTTTTAGCTACTTATATTATACAGACGTAAGTAGATTTACAGTAGCCTATGGAAGCACCAACATTTTGTACCGTCTGCAAGATCAGAAATGAGGAAATGACGTAAAGGGAAAACAAGCTAGCAATCGGGTGTTGAGAGAGAGATTAGGACCCAAAGGAGTAGCATGAGGTCTGGGTACTCTCTGTAGAGAGTGGGCATGCCTCCCAGGGTTTACAAGACAAGAGAACCCTCTATTTTTGTTTATTTATTTTTATGTGAGAAGCAGGGAGACAGAAGAACGCCCATACACTGGCTCACTCCCATAATGGCCAGGAGTGGGCCAGGTTAATGCTGCAAGCCAGGAACTCAACCCAGGTATCCTGTGTCTGAATCCCGTTACTCGGGCCTGACGGCTGCCTCCCAGCATCTGCACAGACAGGAGCGAGGCTGGGCATTGAAACCAAAGCACTCTGCGTGGGTTTCCTCACTGCCAGGCCAAAGACCTGAAAAGCCCTCCCCGTCTCTGTCAAGTACGGCACTGAGTTTTGTGATTTGCTGTGGGGAAAAGTTTGTGTGCTTGAGGCCTGCTTTATAGGGAAGCGACAAATGTTCGAGAAATACGGCCTGGAGGGGCAGGCAGTGATGATGTGAGAGACGTTTTCATGAGTCTTAACATACCTGAGGATAACTCTTCTCTTTCTGACATTTATTGATGTTTTAGGTTTTGATGTGGCCAAAACAGGCGATGCTCGGATCGGGTTTGTGGGTTTTCCATCTGTGGGGAAGTCAACGCTGCTCAGTAACCTGGCAGGGGTGTATTCCGAGGTGGCAGCCTATGAGTTCACCACTCTCACCACTGTGCCTGGTGTCATCAGATACAAGGGTGCCAAGATCCAGGTGAGTCAGGCCTGCGGGCCAAGCAAGGGGAAAAGATGCCTTCTCCTGGTCATTGACAAAGCACTTGGTTGGGAGCTCACTGTGTGCCAGGCCTGATCTTTAATCTGCCAGGCTCTTCCTGTCTGGCAGGGCAGCTAGAGCAGCAGCTAAGTGAGAGCATCCAGTGGGACAGGGCCTATGAAATGCGGAGGCAGAAGGGAGAAGGCGTGGGAACACAGCAGGCTTCCTACAGAAAGTGACACGGGAGGTGGGTCTTGCCGTTAGAGTGGACTCACCAGGCAGAGAGGGAGCGGTGCACTTCCTTCCGGGAGCGGTAATAGTGGATAACGTGCGGTGGTGCAGCTAAGGTGCGGGGCTGGAGTGGCGGCAGCTGAATCTGGACAGGTAGCTGGGGGCTGGCTTGTGAAAGGCCCTGCACACCTGCTGAGGAAATGAAATTTCATCTTGCAGAAAGCCAGGAACCACCAGAAACTTTCTAATAAGTAAGTAAGAGGATCAGGCCCTTTCAAAAAGGTCTTGTCTGCGAGGCTTAATAAAGTCGGTGTCCTAATGGTGTCCTAAAATGTTCTTAGATAGAAGGTACACTTGGGTTTCCCATGTGAGGGATCGCCCTAGATAGGAGATGGTATATGTAAAATATAGTGGAACATTTTTTTAAAAAGATTTATTTATTTATTTGGAAGGCAAAGTTACAGAGAGGCAGAGACAGAGAGAGAGATCTTCCATCCACTGGTTTACTCCCCAAATGACTGCAACAGCTGGAGCTGGGCTGATCCTAAGCCAGGAGCTTCTTCCAGGTCTCCCACACGGGTGCAGGGGCTCAAGGACTTGGGCCACCTTCTGCTGCTTTTCTGAGCCATAGCAGAGAGCTGGATTGGAAGTGGAGCAGCTGTACTCTAACCTGTGCCCATCCATATGGGATGCCGGCACTGCAGGTGGTAGTTTTATCCACTAGGCCACAGCGCCGGGCACAGTGGGACATTCTTGTTGCTTGCACAGTTAAGGGTACAGTTTGGAATCTATCTGTATTTGAGATTTCCAAACTCTTGATTTCACAGCACTCTTGGTGTCTCAGTAATTATTTTATGATAACTTTTTTGTAATTTTTTTTGTGATGCCTCTACCCCATAAAGACCCCAGTGGTTCAGGTTATTAAGTCCAAACAAGTTAATAAAGTATGTTCTTACAGACATACAGTTACTTGCTGATTGGATATGTGCACCTGTTGAATGCCACAGAATTCCTCAACTTGAGAATCAGATTGGATATTGCCACATTTATTTCTTTTTCTAGATTGAATTTTGCTGGTATTTATTGTTTTTCTCATAGCAACTGCTGATCCATCCAGCTTCTGAGAGATTTGGGTCTGATGTAATCCAAAGCCACACAGTGGGGTCTGATGTGAAATTGTGAGGTGCTGGAGCTGGGGGTTACTTTGGTTCCTGGTAGAAATCAAGAATTGCAGTGTTTCTCTTGAAAATTTAGTGTCTGTAGTGCCCCAGAGTGCCTCGGCACGTGGTTTGGGAACCGCTGATATAAGCATTTGTGTTTCTCCTTGCTGGCGTAGGAAAGGCCCTGTGTCCTGGTGCTGTTCCCGATGGCCTTTCTCCCTGCTGGGGAGGTGTCCCTGCAGAGACTGTGTTGGCGTGCATATTCCTTTCTGGGTTCCCATGCCCAAACCTGTACAACGTGAATGAGGAAGCATGGCGGTGTCTGGATCAGGGCTTGATGCTCGTTGGTTTCAGAGCCTTGTTGGTAGTCACAGCTTTGGCCGCACAGAGAGTAGCTTCTGAGTATATCAGAATAAAAAGCTGTGTGACTCCTCTCTTTCCGTGTTTATCCTTAAGCTCTTCATTCATTTCAGTACCTCCTGACCTTTTGGGGTTCTCCCTCCCTTATCTTCCCGATGCTCGCTTTGCTGCTGTGCCTTCTGCCTCTGTTCTTCCTCCGCCACCGACTCTCCAGAAACCGGGTTCATGTAAGCCTACTAGTAGTAAGATGACTATCCTGAGAGTGTTTCTGTAAAGCCTGTTTTGTGCAGACAGTTCATTATCTGTGACTTGGGGGAGTGTATAGAATCAGAACCACTGAATAAGATCTATAAGGAAGGAGGTTTTTTAATTCTTTTTTTTTTTTTATACGAAAGGTCTTTAATGATAAAGGGGCCTAAAAATGGAATGGTATTCCTTGAGGTAATAAAGTACTCTGTAAGTGTTCAAGTAATGGCTCAGCCACTGTGTCCCATAGATGCAAAAAATAAAGATGTATCACATAGGCAGATATAGGCCTGCAGAGTGGGTGTACAGTGCTTTGAAAATTATAGGGCTTACGTTTCAACTTGCCTGGGTCCCTTAACTCCTGTTGTGCTATGCGTGGTTGATGTGCACGTTAAATTACCTGCTTCACCTAAGGCATTTGAGTTGGAAGTCCTTTAACTTTCAGTTCTTAAAATGTTATAGCTGCCGGCGCCGCAACTCACTAGGCTAATCCTCCGCCTTGTGGCGCTGGCACACTGGGTTCTAATCCCGGTCGGGGTGCCGGATTCTGTCCCGGTTGCCCCTCTTCCAGGCCAGCTCTCTGCTGTGGCCAGGGAGTGCAGTGGAGGATGGCCCAAGTGCTTGGGCCCTGCACCCCATGGGAGACCAGGAGAAGTACCTGGCTCCTGCCATCGGATCAGCACGGTGCGCTGGCCGCAGCGCACCGGCCGTGGCGGCCATTGGAGGGTGAACCAACGGCAAAAGGAAGACCTTTCTCTCTGTCTCTCTCTCTCACTGTCCACTCTGCCTGCCAAAAAAAAAAAAAAAGTTATAGCTCCATGATTTAAAGAAATATATATATGTATTTTAAGATTTACCTATCTGAAAGGCAACACTTGGGAGAGAGGATGAGAGAGACATAGGCATCTTCCATCTGTTCTTTTTTTTTTTTTACAGGCAGAGTGGACAGGGAGAGAGAGAGACAGAGAGAAAGGTCTTCCTTTGCCGTTGGTTCACCCTCCAATGGCTGCTGCGGCCCGCGCACCACGCTGATCTGATGGCAGGAGCCAGGTGCTTTTCCTGGTCTCCCATGGGGTGCAGGGCCCAAGCACTTGGGCCATCCTCCACTGCACTCCCGGGCCACAGCAGAGAGCTGGCCTGGAAGAGGGGCAACCGGGACAGAATCTGGCGCCCCGACCGGGACTAGAACCCGGTGTGCCAGCGCCGCAAAGTGGAGGATTAGCCTAGTGAGCTGCGGCGCCGGACCCATCTGTTCTTTTACCCCCCCAAATGGCTGCATTGATCAGGGCTGGGCCAGGCCAAAGCCAGGGACCTGGAATTCCTTCTGGGTACCAGGGGCCCAAGCACTTGAGGCATCTTCTGCTGCTTTCCAGGCACATTAGCAGAGAACTGGATTGAATATAGAGCAGCTGTGACTTGAACTGGCACTTGTGAGATACCATATTTGCAGGTGGTGGCTTAACTCGCTGTGCTGGCCCTGAAGAACAACTTTTTTTTTTTTTTTTTTTAATAAGGGAGAGTTAGAGAGTTAGATAGAGAGGGAGAAAGACAAAGATCTTCCACCCACTGATTTACTCCTCAAAAGGCCACAAAGGCTGGAGCTGTGCCGGACCAAAGTCAGGAGCCAGGGAGCGTCTTCCATGTCTCCCACATGGGTGCAGGAGCCCAAGCACTTGAGCCACCCTCTGTTGCTTTCCCAGGTATTTTAGCAGGGCGCTGGATCAGAAGTGGAGCAGCTGGGACTTGAACCAGTGCGCATATGGGGTGCCAGCATTGCAGGCAGCTGCTTTACCTGCTACACCACAATGCCAACCTCAAGAAAAACTTTTAAATATCTTAGTTGATTGCATTATGAGATTCATGCATATAAAGTATTTGCCTTTTTTTTTTTTTTTTTTTTTTTTTTTTTTTAAGTGTTTGAGAAAAAGACACAGCTCCCAACTCCTGGTTCATTTCCCAAATGCCCACAGTGGCAAGGATTGGACCAGGTTGAGACAGGAACTCAATTCAGGTTTCCCACATGGGTGTCAGGAATCTAAATACCTGACCCACTAACCTGCTGCTTCCTAGGGTCAGCATTAGCAGGAATCAGGAGCCAGAGATGGGACTCGAACCCAGGAACACTGATACATGGAATGCAGGCGTCCCAGCTGGCATCTTAACTGCTAGGTCAAACACCTGTTCCTGTCGGCTGTTCATAAAAAATATTTATTTTCATTTTATTTGTAAGACTGGGCAAGACAGGCAGAGAGAGATCTTCCATCTGCTGGTTCAACTCCCCAAATGTCCAGGACATCTAGGGCTGGGCCAGGCCAAAGTCAGGAACCCAGAACTCAGTACAGATGTCCCATGTGGGTGGCAAGGACCCAAATCCTTAATTCATCACCTGCCTCCCAGGGTACATACATATTTTCAAGAAGCTAGGTTGGAAGTGGAGTAGCTGGGATTGAACCAGGCATTTGGTGTGGTGTGTAGGAGTCCGAAGCAGTGATTTAACTGCTGTGTCACATGCCTGGGTATTTTTATTCAAAGAAATGTAATTGCCACAATTAAATAGTTCAGTGAACTTTTTAAATCTTCCTTTTTCAACAAAAGCTAAATTTTAGTTACTTTGTGTAAGAGGCCTTGATCGGTTGCTCCACTATTTAGCTTCCCTGTTAATTAATTAACTAATTAGAAAGGCAAAGTAACAGAGAAAGAGAGAGGTCTTTCACTCCCTAAATGCCCACAACATCCAGAGCTGGGCCAGGAGCCAGGAATACATCTGGATCTCCCAGGTGGGTAGCAGGAACCATTCGGGCCATCATCTGCTACCTCCCTTGTGCATTAGCAGAAAGCTAGGTGAGAAGTGGAGGCGGGACTCCATCCCAGGTGCTTTGATACAAGGTGTGGTGTCCCAGGTGGTGGCTTAACCTGTTGTGCCACAACGCCAGCCCCTAGCTGCTATACTTAGAAAGTCTTTGCTTTTTCCCCCTCAGTATATGAATCTCTTTCACATAATCTTTTATTTGATGTTATATATTCCAATTTCAACACTTTCAGATTATTCAGATGGATTTTTAAGTTCTTGGTAATGTTGGGCTAAATATATAATAAAGCTTTTTGCTGATGGTGTGTGTATATTTTTATTTTCGTAAGCAGAAAGATTGAGTCGGTTGTAGAAGTGGATTCCAGAATCACTGAGAGCTGAGCAGATTCTAGATCCACTGACCCTGACATTTTCATTTCTTCAAACTGTATTGAAGTGTAATTCCCACACAATAAAGCACACGTCTTTGAAGTGCTTATTTTGATAAGTGTTGAGATGTATATACACTGGTGAAATATCACAGTCAAGGTTGTAAACACACACAGTTGTAAATGGAAAATATTTTTATTTATACTGACTATGCACAGATTCTTTTTTTCCTTGTCATTCTCTGAGCAGTACAGTATAATAGCTATTTATAGGGCACTTGCATTATATAGGTATTTTAAATAATCTGCAGATAATTTAAAGTCTGTAGGAGGACATGCATAGGTTATATGCAAATAGCTTTGCCATTTTATCTGTTGATTTTGTTACTGACAGAATTCTGGAACCAATTCTGTTACAGATACGGAGGCCCTGTTGCAGTCCTGGCTGTTCCACCCTATCCAGCTCTGTGCTAATGGCCTAGGAAAGATGGCCCAAGTACTTGGATCCCTACACCTGAGTGGGAAACCCTTCCATTGCCAAAGAATCCACTCTGTGATTTTGGTCACTGTAGATTAGATTACATGTAAATATAAGTATACTTTGTTTTTGGCTAGTTTCTTTCATTCAGCGTAATTATTTTGAGAAATTCATTATTAAAATGTTTATTGATTGCCATTTTGTTGGAAAGGCAGAGGGGTGGACAGCCAGATGGACAAAGAGCTTTAATTTGCTGGCCTACTCCTCAAATGCCCACAACGGGGTGGGGCCAGGCTGAAGCCAGCAGCCCCTACTCTGTCTCAGTGTCCCATGTGGGTAGCAGGGACCTGAGTACCTAGGACACTGCCTACTGATTCCTGTTGTACTTCAGAGAAAGCCAGATTGGAAGCAGAGTAGCCAGGACTTGAACCAGGCACCCTCGTGTGGGTGTAACCTTGGGTGGCCTCCTAATGGGTGACTTAATCCCTGTGGCAAATGCCTCCCCCCAAAATCTTTCTTATTTTAGAGGAAGAGAGAGACAGCGTCTGGATCAATTGCATCAGATCCAAATCTTTAGAAAGCTGAATTTTTCTGGGTCTCCCATGCGGGTGCAGGGGCCCAAGGACTTGGGCCATCTTCTACTGCTTTCCCAGGCCATAGCAGAGAGCTGGATCGGAAGTGGAACAGCCAGGACTTGAACCGGTGCCCATATGGGATGCCGGCACTGCAGGCGGCTGCTTTACCTGCTACGACTCAGTGCCAGCACCCCCTCCCTTATTTAAAGATTTATTTGTGCTTGCCTGATTAACAATTACTGCAGAAATTTTTGTGAGTTGGAGATTTGCAGAGGTCTCTGTATCACATGTCAGTGTCAATCCAGCTTTTCCTTGTAGGAATTTGTGTGGAAGCTCAATCTTAAATATGGAGGAACACTGTATGATGCTCATTTAGAATAATGGATTTTGCCCCCCAAAAATGGGTTATAATCTTATTTGATTTAATATGACTGTGAGTAAGGCCCTTAATCTCCAAACTTGAGTTAATTTCCTTATCTCACGGGATTTTTAGGCATTTTAAACTAGGTAATGTATATAACAAAGCCTATAGCTGCCATCCACCCCTTGATTTATAAATTGGGTTTGAGTCTCGTAAGTTTGGATAGCGGAGGAGAAAGCGTCTTGTTTGATCTGTTCACATTTATGCATGGTGTTCCCTGTCCTTCCCTTGCAGCTCCTGGATCTCCCAGGCATCATTGAAGGTGCCAAGGATGGGAAAGGTCGAGGCCGTCAAGTCATTGCAGGTGAGTGGTCCGGGGGGTCCAGGGCCGCCATCTTGCTACTGCTCCTTTAGTCTCCCGGGCTTGGAGACTGTGCTGCGGCGAAGGGCATCGTGTCACCTGACTTCTCACCAGAAGAGTGGCAGACCTTGAAGGGACCCCAGCGATGGAGCAGCCCTCCACCTGAGGAGACACTGGGGCAGGGAAGTGAAGGGCTTTGCTGGAGTGCTGCACTGCTGGTGGCAGATGGAGAACTAGAAGTTGGGTTTCCTGACTGTAGCCTGAGATTTTCTTCTGTTCTTTTCTCTTGTATTTCCTACTTTTTGGGGGTTATTTCTGTGTTCTGTGGAATCACATTCTTTGGTAACTCCCTAGAGAAGGGGAATAATGATACAGAAAACTTCTTTCTGTCTTTTCATGTTTGAAAGTATTTTTATTCTACCCTTATCCTGAATTATTAATTCTGCTATTTATAGGATTGTGGAAGTCACCTGTCTCTCCTCTCCTATGCTCTCCTCTCCTCCGTCCTTGAAATGTTTGTGTCTCTCATGATGGCAGTGCTGCTTCCTGGTCTCTTGCCTGGTCTTCAGGATCCCTAAGTGTGGACTGCCCCAGGGTCTAGCCTTGGGGATGCTTTTCTGTCTGCTCAGCCTTAGTTATCTCCCCGAGAGCCTTGGCCTTAGTGCCTGGCTCTGTTCTGATGAATTTGAAGTGTATGCCAGTCCTTTACCGACTTGTGGACCTCAGACCAACTGCCAGCCTCCCTCCACTTGGATGTCCAGTTAGGAGTTTCAGACCTGATGTGTGGATCTGAAATGTTGATTCCCATCCTCAGCTTCTTCGCTTACTTTTTGCCGTTTCAGTGAGAGACAATTGCATCTTTGAGTTAGGGCAGATACTTTTTCTGTCATCATCCACATCTAATACATTGGAGATATAAGTAAAATCAAGCCACTCCTTTTTCTTTTTTTGTCCTTGAGAGCAGATGTTGAGTTAATAGTTTGCAGTTCATGGCACATTTTCATGGATCTGTGTAAGATACGCTTATTTTGCTTATTCACATATTTTATCTCTATACCTCTTATTCTTCACAGACCATACTGATGTGTTTAATGTATGTTTTGTGTAGATATTCTTACAAAAGATATTCTATTTGTATTTTTAATTTATCTAAATGTTATTGTTTTCTCGTTTTTTTTCATTAACATGTAATTGTTGCTTTAAACATCTTCCTAGTACTCCATGGTGTGCACCTACCATATTTTACCTATCCATTTTTTGTAGTTAGGGTTATCTAGTTTGCTGTTACTATCACAACTAATGCTATGTATCAACTTCATGTTTGTTCCTTTAAGAACTGTATGGAGGCTGACACTGTGGCATAGCAGGTTAAGCCATGGCCTGCAGTGCCAACATCCTGTGTGGGTGCCAGTTCAAGTCCCGGCTGCTCCACTTCCATTCCAGCACCCTGCTAATGCCCCTGGGAAAGCAACGGAGGATGTCCCACGTCCTTGGGCCCCCGTACCCATGGAAGAAGCTCCTGGCCCCTGGCTTTGGCCTGGCCCAGTGCTGGTCGTTGTGGCCATTTGAGGAGTGAGCCAGCAGATGGAAGATTTCTGTCCTGTCTCTCCCCTCTGTAACTCTGCCTATCGAATAAATAAATAAATTTTAAAAAACTGTGAGAAAATTTCTTGGACATTCATGAGCAGAATTGCTAAGACACATGCAGGCTTCAGCTGGGGAAGTGGTTTTGGAAGATCCTTCATATGCCTGCTCTGGGTCATGTTCCACCAGCAGTTCATGCAGATGCCTGTTTCTTAGCTCTGTCAGCACTCACCAGGTTTTGCTGCTGTAATGCATGTAAAGTGGCAGCTCATCATTTTCATTGCATTTTTTTTAAAGACTTATTTGTTTATTTGAAAGGCAGAGTTACAGAGAGGCAGAGAGAGAGAGAGAAGTCTTCCATGAAATGGCTGCAATGGCTGGAGCTCGGCTGATCAGGAGCCAGGAGCTTCTTCCAGGTCTGCCATGTGGTTGCAGGGGCCCAAGGACCTGGGCCATCTTCTACTGCTTTCCCAGACCACAGCAGAGAGCTGGATTGGAAGTGGAGCAGCCAGGACTCGAACCGGCTCTCATAAGGGATGCTGGCATTGCAGGCGGCAGCTTTACCCACTATGCTACATACCGGCCCCTCACTAATGATTTTTGAGCATTGATTATATAGTTACTAGTTTGGAGTTTTCTGGAAATTTTCATACCTTTTATCCGTTTTTTTATTGTGATTATTGCCTCTCTCTTTTTAAATATTTATTTGGGGCTGACAGTGCAGTGTGGTGGGTTAAGCCTCCGCCTGCAGCGCCAGCATCCCATGTGGGCACCAGTTCCAGTCCTAGCTGCTCTGCTTCCAATCCAGCTTCCTGCTGATGTGCCTTTAGGCAGTAGAGGATGGCCTAAATGCTTGGGCCCCTGCACCCACGTGAGAGACTCAGAAGAAGCTCTTGGCTTTAGCCTGGCCCAGCCCTGGGTGTTATGACCGTTTGGGGAGTAAGCCAGCAGATGGAAAATCAACCTCTCTCTCTCTCTCTCTCACTCACTGCCTTTCAAATAAAATAAATCTTTAAAAAATAAAATAAAAAATTTAAAAATTTATTTTATTTGAAAGGCAGAATTAGAAGAAGAAGAAGAAATCTTCCATCCTCTGCTTTACTCCCAAAATGGTTGCAAGACCAGGGCTGGAGCAGGCCAGAGTCAGCAGCCAGGAACTTTATCCAGGTCTCTCACATGGGTGGCAGGGGCTCCAGTGCTTGGGCCATCTGCTGCTTGCCCAGGAGCGTTAGCAAGGAGCTGGATCAGAAGTACAGCAGCTGGAACTTGAACTGGTGTCCACATGGGGTGCCCTTGTTGTAGGAGGCAGCTTAATCCTCTATGCCATGACGCCGGCCTTTATCTTTAAAAAAAAAAAAAAAAAAAAGGAAAAGAAAGTTATTTTTTCGAGGCAGAGAGAGGGAGAATGACTGAGCTCCCATACAGTGCTGGTTCCCTCCCCAGATGCACACAAAGCCAAGAGCCAGGAATGTGATCCATGTCTCCCATGTGGATGGCAGGAACCCAGTTACTTGAGTCACCTGCTGCCTCCCAGGATTTCCATTAGCAGGGAGCTGGAGTTGGGAGTTGGGAGTGGAGCAGGGTATGGAACCCAGATATTCCAGTATGGGATGGGTGCATCCCATGTGGGTACCTGTTCCAGTCCCAGCTGTTCTACCCTATCCAGCTCTGTGCTAATGGCCTAGGAAAGATGGCCCAAGTACTTGGGTCCCTACACCTGAGTGAAGCTCTGGCTTCAGATTGGCCCAGCTCTGCCTGTTGTGACCAGGAAAGATCGATATCTCGACATCTCCCTCTTCCCCCACCCCATCTCTATCTCTGTCTCTGTCTCTATCTCTACCTTTCATATAAATAAATAAATCTTTAAGAAAAATTGTAGGTTTGTTGTCTGATGCAGTTGTCACTAGTCATATGTGACTAAAACTTAAATCAATTTTGAAAAGTTTAATTCTTCACTCATGTAAGTTATATTTTACATTATCAGCCACATGTGACTAGTGCTTGCCATTGTGGACAGCACAGATGTATAATATTTTTGTCAACTTCTGTTTGGTAGTGTTGCTCTGGATATTAATTTGTTGTCAGCTATAGACATTGCAGGTATCTTCTGATTTCTGCAGTGTGAACTTTGTTGGGTAGAAATTCTTAACCTTTGCATGGAGAATCTCTCTCTCTCCCTTTCTCATGCCCTGCCTTCAAGTAAATAAATCTTGTGTAAGAAAAGAATCTAATTTAACATTTTCCCTCTTGGTGTTTGTGCTTTGGAAGTTTTATTTAAGAAGAAATCTTCTTTCCTTAGGTTGCAGACATGGTGTGTTGTCCTTTTAGGTCCTTTATTTACCTAGGGACTACTCTTTTTTTTAAAAAAGAGAAAGACTTAATTTAATTGAGAGCCACAGAGAGGGAGAGATAGAGAGATCCTTCCATCAGCTGGTTCACTTCCCAAATGGCTGGAACTGCTGAGGCCGTGCAAGGCTGAGGCTGCGAGCCCAGAGCTATGTCTGAGTCTCACATGGGTGCAGGGGTCCAAGCACTTAGACCTCTTCCGCTGTTTTCCCAGGCGCATCAGCAGGGAGCTGGATTGGGAGTGGAGCCAGAGTGGTGCTCATGTGGGATGCCAGTGTTGCAGCTTAACCCACTGTACTGTGTTGCTCACTCCTGAATTGTTTAATGGGTCTTGTTTGTTGATCGCTCAAATGTCTGGTGATCCTTAGTTATCTGCCTTATATAAGAATGCAGAACTTGGGATCAGGGTTGCGGCATTGTGGGTTAGCCAGCATCCCATTTGAGTACTGGTTTGAGTCTTGGCTGCTCCACTTCTGATCCAACTCTGCTAATGTGCTTGGGAAAGCAGTGGAGGATGACCCAAGTGCTTGGGTTCCTGCCCCACTGTGGGAGACCTGGAAGAAGCTCCTGGCTTTGGCCTGGGTCAGCCAGTCCTGGCTGTTGGGGCCATCTGGGGAGTGAACCAATGGATGGAAGATTATCTCTCAGTATCTCTGTCTAACTCTGCCTTCCAAATAAAATTAAATAAATCTTAAAAAAAAAAAAAAGGACCTACAAAATTGATGAGATGTTTTCAGCTGGGTTTTTGAGTAATGAGTTTTATCATAGGTCATTGTGCAATATGTTAGCTTTTTTGGAGGGTGAATTTTGTGTGCCGATAACAGCAGGTTTTTAATCTGTGGCTACTCCATGACTCCAGAGAAAAACGCTTTATTAAATGTTCTGCTTAAAGGGAAAGGAAGCTGTTTCTGTGGGGAGTGTAGACTTTAGCAGACTCCTGCTTTGAGGTCCGCCCGTCCATTTTTGTGCTATTCTTGGTGTAAGCCCGAGCCGGGTCCCAGTGGCCGTTTTCCCCTGGATCCTGGTTCTCTTGAGGACAAGATTCAGTGCCCACCAGGGCCACATCACCACTTATTTCACCATTCTGTTTTAATTTTGGTATCCTACTTCATGCATTGTCTGTGCTGGGTATACTGTTTTTATGTTATCATTAAGACCTGGTAGCAGAGGAGGATATATGTTCAGTAGGTGTGTGGATTATTGGTTTTCCTTAATAAAAAAAGTCTAGAAGTTTTAATCAGACACACATTCCTGACAAAGTGCTGCTAATTTTTGTGGGCTTTAGTTTTCTGTAAGCATGAAAGTGTATAATAAAACACAGAGAACACTAAAATTTTTATACTGAAATTGAGTTTTTACAGTGAGTGGTTTATTCTTAATGAGAAAAATTTTAATATTAGAACAAAATTTTAATATTAGAACAACTGTGTAGTAACTCAGAGTCTTTAAGTATTATTATATATATAGTGATATATATATATATAGTATTATTATATATGGAGTCTTTGATTTAAGTATTATTCCTTAGTCCAATTAAATGCCAACCAGACAGAAAATGTTTGGTACCTTAGGCAAAGGTTTTTTAGGTAGTACACTAAAATCATGAACTGCAAAAGAAACCATGAATAATTTTCATATTATCAGAATTCAGATGTTCCTCTATAAAAGACAGTTAAATTGAAGAAGCAGGGGCCGGCGCCATGGCTCACTTGATTAATCCTCCGCCTGTGGTGCCTGCATCCCATATGGGCGCCAGGTTCTAGTCCCGGTTGCTCCTCTTCCAGTCCAGCTCTCTGCTGTGGCCCAGGAGGGCAGTGGAGGATGGCCCAAGTGCTTGGGCCCTGCACCCGCATGGGAGACCAGGAGGAAGCACCTGGCTCCTGGCTTTGGACTGGCGCAGCGCCGGCCGTAGTGGCCATTTGGGGAGTGAACCAACGGAAGGAAGACCTTTCTCTCTGTCTGTCTCTCTCTTCATTGTCTATAACTCTACCTGTCAAATTAAAAAAAAAAATGAAGAAGCAAGCCTCAAACTGGGAGAAAATATTAGCTATGTATATTTGACAATGGATTTGATTTCATAATATATAAATAATTTTTAAAAAGGTTTATTTATTTATTTGAAAGGCAGAATTAGAGAGTGAGATCGTCCATCTGCTGCTTCATTCCTCAGATGAATGGAACTCCATCTGGGTCTCCCATGTGCTTGGCAGGGGCCATCTTCTGTGGCAGGCACATTAGCAGGGAGCTGGATTGGAAGTGGAGCAGCTGGGACTCAAACCTGCCCCACAGGCAGCAACTTAATCTCATGTGACACAATGCTGGCCCCCAGAATATATGAAGAATTCTTATTAGTTCACTATAAGGTAGCCCAATTAAAAAATGGCTAAAGGGACTGGCACTGTGGCGTAACAGGTAAAGCTGCTGTCTGCAGCACTGGCATCCCATATGGGCAGCAGTGAGAGTCTCAGCTGCTCTGCTTCCAGTCCAGCTCCCTGTTAACACGCCTGGGAAAGCAACAGAGCATGGCCCAAAGTAGTTGGGCCCCTGTACCCACGTGGGGGAACTGGAAGAAGTTCCTGGCTTTGGCCTGGCTCAGCCCTGTGTGTGTGGCCATTTTGGGAGTGAACTAGTGGATGGAAGATTTTCTGTCTTTCTTTTTCTCTCTCTACTTTGAATTTCAAATAAATACATCTTGGGGGGAAAAAAAAAGGCAAGAAATGAATGGCCAAGAGGCACCTGAAAAGGTGGCTCAGCATTGTTGGTCATCAGGGAAATGCAGCCACAATGGGATGTCGTCATATACTCATTAGAATGGCTAAAACTAAAAAAGCATGGCAACGCCCAAATGTTGGGGAAGATATGGAGCAGCTGGAATTCTCATACACTGCTTGATCGAGTTATCAGATAGTGCAAACATTTGAATAAATAATCTATTTGCCATGTGACCCAACAGTTCCACTGGCGTTTGCCCAAGGGAAATGAAAAACAGTACATCCACAGAAAGACTTGTACATGAATGTTTGTAGATGAACAAATGGATGGATAAGCAAACCATGATATAATCTGTATGACAGAGTGCTGGTCTGTTATAAGAAGAGATCGATTACTGATCTGTGTGCAGCATGTTTAAATGGAGAAACCACTATGCTAAAATAAACACAGGCACAGAAGACTACTTTTTTTATTTATTTCAAAAATGTATGTATTTGCAAGGCAGAGAGACACAGCTCCCATCTGTTAGTTCACTCCCCATGTGCCACAGCCAGTGGACGAGGTTGGGATTGAGGCCAGGACTGGGGAGTACATTTCAGGTCTTGCAGGTGGATGGTTGGAGCCCAGTTGTGTTCATTGCTGCCTCCCGTTGAGCTCCTGACTCCAGGCTTTGTCCTGGCCAAGCCCTGGCTGTTGTAGGAATGAATCAGCAGATATCTCTGTCTGTCTCTGTCTCTGCCTTTCCAATTAAATTAATAAATACAAATTTAAAAGTGCATGTATATAGATAAAATACCATTTTTAAGGAATATTTGTTAATTACAGCTTTATTGAGCTCAGTTTGAAAATGTGTGTGTATTCTTTTTATTCTTCAGTGGCTAGAACCTGTAACTTGATCCTTATTGTTCTGGATGTCCTGAAACCCTTGGGACATAAGAAGATCATTGAAAATGAGCTGGAAGGCTTTGGCATTCGTTTAAACAGCAAACCTCCCAACATTGGCTTTAAGAAGAAGGACAAAGGAGGCATTAATCTCACGGCTACTGTAAGTCGGGAAAGTGATATTGGGGCAGGCTGTTGCTGAAGGATGTACATTGAGGTACACCAACATTGACTCTTGAGTGTATCCTGGCTTTTCCCTGAACTGGTTGAGATAACCAATGACTTTATAATGACCGACAGTGACTTAAGATTTGGATAGGAGTCGGTCTCAAGTTCTCAGGTTTTCCTTTGCAACTTCATTCCCTCTTTTGGATTATCTATTTGGGACGGTACAGGAATGTGGACCGATTTTATGCTTGTATGCAACAGATGATTGCCAATATTCTTTGTTTTCATTCATTTAACACAAAGTGGTAGAACAGCTACCTTGGACCAAACGTTGTTGTAGGCTCTGGGCAGTGGGAGGAATGGGTATGGAAAAGAAGAGAGACTAAAACTGTTGCCCTTACATTCTAATTGGGTAACACAGCAAACCAAAATGAAAAAGATACAGTGTACTGGATAATGATGAATCTGTAAACTGAAGTCGGAGAAAAGGGGAATAGAGAGTACTGATGGGGACTTCTGGGAATGTCTTGACTGAGGTGAGGTCAAGAGCTGAACCGGAAGGATGTGGGGTGGAGTGTTTCACGTAGAAACCTGTGGAGCACACCTTTGCATGGTTGAGGGTTAGCAGAATGAGCAGGTTAGGAGAAGAGTAAATATCAGGGCCTTAAATGCTTTAACTTGCGGGAGGTTTGTTAACTATTGTTTGGGTTCTGATCTATGTAAATATGATTTGACTTCGTTTTAAGTGGAATCTTTCTGACTATTGTGTTGAGAATAGACTGGACTGGGTTAAGAGGACAATCAGAGAAATGATTTAAGAGGTGTCACACCATCTAATCAAGAAATGATGTCTTGGTAGACCAGGGTTGTAACAGTGGGAGAGATGAGAAGTAGTTGATAGGAATCACAGCTGGATTGGTTATGGGTTGTTTGTGGGGAGAGAGAGAGAGAGAGATGACGGCGAGTTTATTTTCTGAATTGGAAAAAGGAGCTCTTATTGTTGAATGGTAGCATTTTGGGTAGAATCGGCTTGCAGGGCATGAGAAGGTCAAGGTTTAGGGCTGGAGTTGTGATTTGGACGTCCAGGTTTCTGTCAGGGAGGTGAATGAGGAGTGATCGGGCTGGAAATGAGTTTGGTAGTTACCAGCCTTAAGGCCACAAGCCTGCTGAGATCACTGAGGAAGGGAGTGTAAATAGGAAAGAAAATGCGACTTCTCAGCAGAGGGAGAAGGAACACTGGGAGCGTTTGGAATCTTGGAATCCAAGCAAAGGAAGTGTTTCAATAGCAGGGGTGACCGTATCTGTCAAATGCTGTGTCTTAGGCTTAGAACTGAGGACTGAGGACTTCCTACTCAATTTAACATTCTAGGATCCAAGTGATAGGACGAGCAAAAGTTACAAAACATTTCTTCAAACATCCTGTCATAATACTTAAAATTGTGCATTCAAGACTTTGTGTATTTGTTTGCTAGGGCTGCCATAATAAAGTGCCATAGACTGGGTGGTTTAAGAGACATTTATGGCCGGCGCGGTGGCTCAGTAGGCTAATCCTCTGCCAGCAGCGCCAGCACCCCGGGTTCTAGTCCTGGTCGGGGCGCCGGATTCTGTCCCGGTTGCCCCTCTTCCAGTCCAGCTCTTTGCTGTGGCCCGGGAGTGCAGTGAAGGATGGCCCAAGTGCTTGGGCCCTACACCCCATGGGTGACCAGGAGAATCACCTGGCTCCCTGCTTTGGATCAGCGCGGTGCGCCAGCCGCAGCATGGCAGCCATTGGAGGGTGAACCAAAGGTAAAGGAAGACCTTTCTCTCTGTCTCTCTCTCTCTGTCCACTCTGCCTGTGAAAAACAAAAAACAAAAACAAAAGACATTTATTTTTCATAGTTCTGGAGGTGCAGAGTCTGAGGTTGGGTGATGGATTGGTTCCTTCGGAGTGCTCTCCTTGGTTTGCAGATGGCAGTCTTCTGTGTCTTCACAGCCTTGCCTGTGTCTCTGTCCTGATCTTTTCTTATAAGGACACAGCTAATGACCCCACCCTAATGACTTCATTCTTCATTTAATTTCCTTTTTCCAGATTTATCTCCAGACTTCTGAGATACTGAGATTAGGACTTCAACATAATGATACAATTCAACTCTTAACACATTCTTCAGAGTTGAGACAATTTAAACTTTTTATGTATTTCCTGCTAGAAGTCAGTTACTCTCACCCAGGGTAAAGAACTAGATTTTGGGTATGCAGCCACTTGTAGGTGCTGCCGTTCTGTGCTCTCTGATTAGTCATTGTCTGCCCTGCCCATTCAGTGCCCACAGAGCGAACTGGATGCGGAAACCGTGAAGAGCATTCTGGCTGAATACAAAATCCACAATGCGGATGTGACTCTGCGCAGCGATGCCACGGCTGATGACCTCATCGACGTGGTGGAAGGGAACAGGTGTGCACGGAGTGTGCGGTCTGTGCTCTTGTGAATTTGAAGCCTTGTGGTGGAAACAGTACTGGAGTATGAATCGATTCTGAACTGCAGTTGTGCTGCTATCAGTTTTGGGCTTGGGTATTTTAGAAGTAAAATGAGGGATTGGTCTTCATTTTCTTTTTTTTAATTTATTTGAAAGAGAGCGAGAGAGAGATTTTCCGTGCACTTGTTCATTCCCCAAATGGCCGTGACAGTCTGAAGCTGGAAACCAGGAGCTTCTTTTGGGTCTCCCACGTGGGTAGCAAGGGTCCAAGTACTTGTGCTGTCCTCCACTGCTTTCCCAGGCACGTTAGCAGAGAGCTGGATTGGAAATGGAGCAGCTGGGACTTGAACTGATGCCCGTTTGGGATACCAGCATTGCAGACAGCAGCTTTACCTGTAACACCACAATGCTGGCCCCAGGTCTTGATTTTCTTTTCTTTCTTTCTTTCTTTTTTTTTTTTTTTTTTTTTTTTTTGACAGGCAGAGTGGATAGTGAGAGAGAGAGACAGAGAGAAAGGTCTTCCTTTTGCTGTTGGTTCACCCTCCAATGGCCGCCGCGGCCAGTGCACCACGCTGATCCGATGGCAGGAGCCAGGTACTTCTCCTGGTCTCCCATGGGGTGCAGGGCCCAAGCACTTGGGCCATCCTCCACTGCACTCCCTGGCCACAGCAGAGAGCTGGCCTGGAAGAGGGGCAACCGGGACAGAATCCGGCGCCCCGACCGGGACTAGAACCCGGTGTGCCGGCACTGCAAGGCGGAGGATTAGCCTAGTGAGCCGCAGCGACGGCCACCAGGTCTTGATCTCTAACATGCTTCCTTTCTCTGAAGTGTTGAAATCTCACGTGCCGGGACACAAACAGCACCTGTATGGGATGCCAGTCCTGCAGGCGGAGGTTTACCCTACTTCACCACAGCGCTGGCTCCAATAAATAAATCTTCAAAGAAACAAAAACAAGAGTAGAGGATGACCCAAGTCTTTGGGCCCATGCACCCACGTGGGAGACCTGGAAGAAGCTCCTGGCTCCTGGCTTTGGATCAGCGCAGCTCCAGCTGTTGCAGCCATTTGGGGAGTGAACCATCAGATGGAAGACCTCTCTCTCTCTCTCTCTCTGCCTCTGCCTCTCTGTAACTCTACCTTTCAAATAAATAAAATAAATCTTAAAAAATAAGAATCAGGCTCAGACCAGCACTTCTGTATGGGGTGCTGGCATCAAGCAGCGGCTTAACTTGTCGCACAACAGCACGGGCCTCAGTTCACTCTCCTGATGACCACAGAAACCAAGTCTGGACCAGGCTGAAGCCAGGAGCCAGCCAGTCCATCCTAGACTCTGATGTGGGGCCCAGACGCTCGGACTGTCTCCCACTGCCTTCGAAGTGCACGAGCAGGAAGCTGGGTCTGAGAGCAGAGCAGTGTGGATTTGGGCTGGCACTCTGATAGGCAGTCACAAACCCCGTGGTGCGCAGTGTGAACAGGGCCTGCGTGAATTCTCAACTCAGACTGCACGGTTAACAGTTTCTACTCATTCTTTTTTAAAGCAGGGAGTTGTTAAGTCCCGATTTGGGGCCTGAGGGAGGAGGTGCTGCTCATTAGACTCACAATTTTGTCAGCAACTGCAGGCTAATTCCCTCTTTCTTTTCTGCTTCATAGAGTTTATATCCCTTGTATCTATGTTTTAAACAAGATTGATCAGATCTCCATTGAGGAACTGGATATCATCTATAAGGTGCCTCACTGCGTGCCGATCTCTGCCCATCACCGCTGGAACTTCGATGACCTGTTGGAGAAGATCTGGGACTACCTGAAACTAGTGAGGATGTGAGTCCTTGTGCGTGGCTGCTGCTGCTGCGGGAGGGAGGCCAGACTGCCTTAGGAAGATCCCTCTGGAGCTCCTGCGCACGATCTCGCCGTGTTCTGTGACACACGGAAGTCGGCTTCGTCATCGCTAGGTCACATTGAGGGTGCTTTCTTCCCAGGGGGGAGGTTATCCTGGTCCGACCTCGGGGTGCTGCGGGATTGGTTGGCATCCCACATGTGAAGCGTTCTAAGTAGGTGGTAACCTCTGTCGCCCCCTCTCTCCTAGTTACACCAAGCCCAAGGGCCAGTTGCCGGATTACACGTCCCCGGTGGTGCTGCCCTACTCGAGGACCACGGTGGAGGATTTCTGCATGAAAATTCACAAGAATCTTATCAAGGAGTTTAAGTAGTAAGTAGCAAGGGCACGTGGGACCGCCTTTGCTTTGTGAGCCCCTGCCTTCACATGCAGTCTCAGGACCGCGTGAGGGCTCGGTGTGTCGGCGGACAGGGAGAGCTCCGGAGGTCAGCAGGGCGCTGCTGCCAAGGGGCTTTCATTTCCCTTCATTAATTCATCTTGGTGGCAAGCACAAAGATGGATTCTCCCTGCCGGGTTATCGTGGCCTCCACTGGGTACTGACTCCTCCTCTAAAACTTAGAATCCCTGTGATCTTTGCTTTTTCTTCTTCTTCTTATTGTTATTATTTTTGACAGGCAGAGTGGACAGTCAGAGAGAGAGAGAAAGGTCGTCCTTTTCTGTTGGTTCACCCCCCAATGGCCACTGCAGACAGCGCACCGCGCTGATCCACAGACAGGAGCCAGGTGCTTCTCATGGTCTCCTATGGGGTGCAGGGCCCAAGCACTTGGGCCATCCTCCACTGCACTCCCGGGCCACAGCAGAGAGCTGGCCTGGAAGAGGGGCAACTGGGACAGAATCCGGTGCCCCGACCGGGACTCGAACCCGGTGTGCCGGCACCGCAGGCGGAGGATTAGCCTATTGAGCCATGGCGCCGGCTTGATCTTTTTTTTAAATTTTTTTTTTAAGATTTATTTTATTCATATGAAAGAGTTACAGAGAGAGAGGCCGAGCCAGAGACAGAGTGGTCTTCCATTCTGTTGGTTCACTCCCCAAATTACCACAATGGCCAGAGCTGAGATGATCTGGAGCTAGGAGCTTCTTCGGGGTCTCCCACGTGGGTGTAGGGTCCCAAGGTCTTGGGCCATCTTCTACTGCTTTCCCAGACCATAGCAGAGAGCTGGATCAGAAGTGGAGCAGCTGGGACTTGAACTGGTGCCCATATGGGATGCTGGCGCTGCAGGCTGGGGCTTTAACCCGCTGTGCCTCAGCGCCAGCCCCTCCCTGTGATCTTTTTCTTTAACTTTTCACTACTGATAGCAGCTCAAAACTGTTTTAAAAGATTTATTTATTTGAAAGTCAGAGTTACACAGAGAGAGGAGAAGCAGAGAGAGAGAGAGGGAGAGAGAGGGAGGTCTTCCTTCTGATGGTTCACTCCTCAATTGGCCGCAACAGCTGGAATTGCGCCAATCCAAAGCCAGGAGCCAGGAGCTTCTTCCAGGTTTCACACGCGGGTGCAGGGGCCCAAGGTCTTGGGCCATCTTCTACTGCTTTCCCAGGCCATAGCAGAGAGCTGGATCGGAAGTGGAGCAGCCGGGTCTCGAACTGGCGCCCATACAGGGTGCCGGCACTTCAAGCCAGGGTATTAACCTGCTGCGCCAAAGCGCTGGCACTCAGCTCAATACTTTAAAAAAATTTTTTTTGAACTAATTTCAGGTTTACAGAAAAGGGGCAAACAGAAAAAAGCACAAAAAGAGTTTACTTTTACCCCTCACCCCACTTGTGACAATAGCAGCTTCCGTTACTGTGTACTCCAGATACCACGGGCAGGACATAGACTTTGGCACTGCACCATTCACTGAATTACAAATCTTACTTGAAATGTACTGCTTCTCCTGCCAGTGTCTGTTTTATGTTCCAGGCATGGAATTGTTAGTTTTTCTTAGCCTTCCAGTGTTCTAGACCCCCAGTATTTCCTTAGATTTTCACTCTTTGATGACCTTGATGCTTTTATTTATCTTTTTATTGTTATTTTTAAGGATTTATTTAAAAGGCAGCAAGAGAGGGAGACAGATCTTCCACCTGTTGGTTCACTCCCCGGATGGACACAATGGCCAGGCCAAATCCCAGAGCCTGAAACTCCATCTGGGTCTCCCACATGGGTGCAGGGGCCCAAACACTTGGACCATTTTCTGCTGCTGTCCCAGGAGCATTAGCAGGGAGCTGGGTTGGAAGCAGAGCAGCTCAGACCTGCGCTCATAAGGGAGGCTGGTATTGCAGGTGGTGGCTTAACCTGCTGCACTACAACACCAGTCCCTGATCTTGGCTTTTTTTTTTTTTTTTTAAAGATTTATTTATGTATTTGAAAGGCAGAGATAGAGATCTGCTGGTCCACTCCCCAAATGGCTTCCATGGCCAGAGCTGGGCCAAGGCTGAAGCCAGGAGCCAGGTGCCTCTTCCTGGTCTCCCATGCAGGTGCAGGGCCCAAGGACTTGGGCCATCCTCCACTGCCTTCCTGGGCCACAGCAGAGAGCTGGACTGGAAGAGGGGCAACCGGGACAGAATACAGCGCCCCGACCAGGACTAGAACCCAGGGTGTTGGAGCCACAGGCAGAGGATTAGTCAGTGAGCCATGGCGCTGGCCATTTCTTTCTCTTTTGAAGTTTAAAATTTATTTATTGGAATTCTCCTGTGAGTTAGAGCTGTCACTTGTCCCCTGTTTATTTAATCCATAATGTATATTGGTATGAACTCTTGGATTTTTGGTCTGTAGGCTGTCATCTAATATTTGTTGCTTTGGACATGAGCAACTCTTTTATCTTCTGTTTTTTTTTTTTTTTTTTTTTTTTTTTTTTTTTTTACAGCGATGGAGGGGGAGACAGTTTCTGTCTGCTAGCTTACTCTCTAACTGGCCACATTGGCCCAGGCTGTGCCAGGCTGAAGCCAGGAGCCTGGAACCGTCTCATGTAGTTGGCAGGGGCCTAGGTACTTGGGCCATCCTTGGCTGCTTTCCCAGGCTCATCAGCCGGAAGCTGGCTTGAACAATAGCAGTTTTGCTGGGACTCCAGCCAGCACTTCCATATACAATGCTGATGTTGCAAGTGGCAACTTAACCCACAGTCCCAGTTGTTGGCCCCTTGTGTTGCTATTGATAATTTTCGAAGACTTTACTATAGAAGTAGCATTGATACTTAAATGGTTTTTGCTGTGTTTTTACTTTCCAGAACAGCTGAACTGTTTACATTTGTAAAATGATCACTCTGTACTTAAATATGTTTGTTAGTGCATTTGAAAATTTTTGTTTGTTGGGGTCAGTGTTTTGAGTGCAGTGGGTCGAGCTGCTCTCTACTTCCAATTCCGTTCCCTGCTATTGTTCCTTGGGAGGCAGCAGATGATGGCCAAGTACTTGGACCCTGCCACCCTCATGAGAGACCTGGATGGACCTCTTGACTCTTGGCCTCAGCCTGGTTCAGTCCTGGCTGTTGTGGCCATTTGGGAGAAAACCAGTGGATGGAAGACCTCTCTGTCCCTCCCTGTCTCTCTGTAACTGTCTTTCAAATAAATAAACCTTTCAAACTTTTATTTGTATTAATTTATATCTATTACTGATATGTGTTTTTTTTAAAACGTGGTCTTTTCTTTGTTGATTTCTTACTGGACTATAAAATTTTAAAGAAGTTTTAGTGCAGTAACAATGTAACATAATATGGCCACTTTTTCTCTTTGCCCCTTGTTGCCTAGTCCTCAGTCTGTGGGAGGCAGTCAGTGTTATGTTCAGTAAATTCCCATCTCTCTCAGAGCACACTGTGCATTTTGGAGGCTTGTGGATATAAATTACCATCCTATAGTCCAAGAATCTGGATGGAGCCCATTCCAATTGACAGTTTTCTGATAGGGAAGGAAGGGTTTCATAGCGTGGCTGAGGAGGGAGACTTGAGTCTGGTCTGTACCCACTGATGGAAATTTTCTCCAACCCTCTGTAACTGACACTGTGTGACTAACAAGCCATCTCAATCTGATGTTTTGAGGGTATTTCTTAGTAATAAATCCATGCTTCGGGTTTACTGAATCTTTGAAATTTCCACCTCTTCTCTTGACGTTACGCACGTGCACTGTCCCTGACTTTAGGTTGGACTGAGGAGGCAGGTGAGCGCTGCCTGGTGTGCTGTCTGTGGCAGCCGCTGCCGTAGGGCTGTGGCTCTGCAGGGCTGGGGTGCTCGGTGAGAGCAGAGTGCGGCCCTCGGCAGACGGAGCAGAGCGGGGTTCGCGTTTCCACTGACTGTCCTTTCTTCCTCCCATACAGCGCTCTGGTCTGGGGTCTCTCTGTGAAGCACAACCCTCAGAAAGTGGGTAAAGACCACACGCTGGAGGATGAGGACGTCATTCAGATTGTGAAGAAGTGAAACCTGCCCTTACCTGTCAGCCGAGACAGCCACGGCGGCTTTCGCCACGACCCAGCGCCGTCTCCCAGCTCCTGGCAGGGGCAGCCGCTGGATCAGGACTCGGGAGGGAGAGGAAGGCGCCCGAACAACTTGACCTGTCTTTTCCTGGTTCACCTTGTGTGTTGAGCTGCATAAAGGAATCCGGTAGGGCTGTCGGCTGCGTGCAGTTCATGTGTCAGCACCGGAATCTTGGGGCTGAGTTGAACGAGGAAGAGCGTGTGCAGTGAGGCCGATGCCAGAGGGATGCTTGGTAGCTTGCTCTGAATGTGAAATGGCTAGAGGCGTGACACACAACATCCTAGTTGATGTTTATCTTTATTTTTCTTAGATTTATTTATGAATTTATTTGAAAGAGTTAGAGGAAGAGACATCTTCTGTCTGCTGGCTTACCCCCCAGGTGGCTGCAACGGCCAGCACTGGGCCTGGCTGAAGCCAGGAGCTTCATTGGGGCAGTAGGTCTCCCATGTGGGTAGTAGGGACCCAAGCACTTGGGCCATCCTTTGCCACTTTCCCAGGCCATTAGCAGGGACGTGGATCATAAGTGGAGTAGCCGGGACTCTAACCAGTACCCATACCGGATGCCAGTGTTGCAGGCAGCAGCTTTACCTGCGGTGCCACCCCTTCAGCCCCTTAGTTGATGCAGGTTACCTGTTCCCTGCAGGCTAGCCCGTCTGGGGCGTGGCGTAGTGGGGTGGAGTGGACTGCTCTGACCAGCCTGTGGAGGTTGACTTGCTGGTACGCCTCCAGTGAGCTGTGGAACTGAACAAACTACTCAGCCTTTGTGAGCCTTAGCTTCCTAAGTGACATAGGGATGGTAGTAGCACTCGTCTCCTAGTCTAGCTTAGCACAGTATCTGGCATGGATGTGGGCTCCTGTCAGTGGACCCTGTCCTGGGCTCTGTCCTCCACAGCTGCCAGAGACTGGGCTGCACATGCTGCTGGCGGGCCTTGGGGCCTCTCCTTCCCAGTCAGGCCTTTCTGCCCGAGGCCCCGTCTGGCAGTCCTGGGCACAGCACTTCACCTAGGGCAAGGCCTGGAGCTCACAGCAAGTGAGGCAGGCTGTGTGAGCGGAGCAGGTCTCTGTGTGCTGGACACTAGCGCTTCTGGAGGGTACCAGCGGCATCAGCACTGGTTTTGGGGGCTGCGATTAATGGTCTTTAAAGGGATTGAATGGTTTCTCTTCCAACAGCAAGGCAGGTGCCAAGATAGTTACCAAAGATTATTTCAGCATGGAACATACGCAGAGACAACAGAACATTCCCTGAGAAAGTCAGGAAGGGGGACGGGTTTGTAAATTCAGTTGTCTTCAAATGAGGTAAGCTAGACCTAATTCTTGGCAGGTTGTGAGGGGCGGGAGGGGAGATTACCACATCTTCAGCCTCTGTCCAGTGCTTGTTCCTCTGAGAGCCCACACCCAGGAGCTGGGCTTCTCTGGTAGATTGTAGACCTTGGTGTCACTGGTGCAATCATGACAGAGGTGACCTGGAAGCTACCATGACCCTTCAGGAGAATGGGGACGTTGGCTTTTTGAGGGGATGTCTGGCCGGAGCATACTGAGTTTTTGGGCAATCCCATGTCAGACTTCACTTTTATTGGGCATACATTTGGCTGTGCCAGGATATTGGAGAGAAGAGGTTGCTGACATCTAGTTTATCCAAGGGCTTTGGAATGTGCCTTTAAACTTGTACTAGTAGAAAGATTCAAAACTCCCCAGATGCCTCCAGTGGCTGGGGCTGAGTCAGGATAAAGCTGGAAGGTGGGCGCAGATCTCCCGTTTGAGTGACAGGTCTTTAAGGGTGTGCATCGGCAGTAAGCTGAAATTGGGAGTGAAGCATGGACCTCAACAGGAATTCTGATGTGGGACATGGGCACCCCGAGTAGCATCTCAGCTGCTGCGTCAAACGCCCATACTTTTTCTAATTTGGGCCTGCATTGTGGCGTAGCAGGTAAAGAAAGCCACCACTGTGATGCGGACGTTCCATATGGGCACCAGTTTGAGTCCTGGCTGCTCCACATCCCTGCTAAGTGCCTGGGAAAGCAGCAGAGGATGGTCCAAGTTCCTGGGCCCTTGTACCCACGTGGGAGTCCCAGAAGCAGCTTTGGATTGGCCCAGCTCCAGCTATTGCAGCCATTTTGGGAAGTGAACCAGTGGATGGAAAATGTCTGCTTTTCAGATAAATCTGAAAAAATTTATTTGAAAAAGAGAGGCCACATGTCTTATCAATCTTGAAAGACAGATCTGTCTACTGGTTCACTCCCCAAATACCTCCAACAGCCAGAGCTGTGACAGCCTAAAGCAGCAGCCCAGAATTCCATTCAGGTTCTCCCATGGTGGGGGGCAGGGACCCAAGTGTTTGGGCCATCATCTGCGGCCTTCCTCGGTGAATGGACAGGAAGCTGGGTCAGACAAGGAGCCAGGACTTGCACCAAGACTCCAGTGTGGAACACAGGCATCCCAAGCAGTTCAGCTTCTGTGCCACGACTCCATCATTTCAATCAGTTAGGAAAATGGAGTCTGCCCCTAGAATCCTTCATTCCTGACTGTGTGCAGAGGTCAGTAGACTGCTTCCTCTTGCCAGCCTACTTCAGGACTCTCAGTAGCAATCCCAAAGGCCTCGCTGCACTCTACCATGTGTTCCTGTGCTTCTCTGTGGTTCTCAGCTCTCTCACTTTAAAAAATAAGAGTTAAGTAACAGATGTAGAAAACATCCTTAAGGAAATATTTGAGAATCTTGCATCCTTTGGTTCTCAGATGGCTGCGATGGCTGGGGCTGGATCAGGCCTGTGGTACGAGTCTAAACACTTGGGCCGTCTTCCACTGCTTTCCCAAGCCATTAACAGGGAGCTAGATCACAAGTAGAGCAGCCGGGACGCAAATTGGGACCCACAGGAGATGCCGAGGCAGCCCCTTATTATTCTGTATATCCTTCAAGCCCTGATTGCTTCTAAACTCATCTAATGCATGCCAGACATTGTTTCTGGGGCTGTGGCACAGCAAGTAAAGCTGCAGCCTACAGTGCCACACCCTACTTGAGTGGCAGTTTGAGTCCCAGCTGCTCCACTTGCGAACCAGCTCCCTGCTAACGCAGCAGAGGATGGTCCAAGTGCTTAGACCATCCACATGGGAGGCCTGGATGAAACTCTTGGCTTTGGCCTGGCCTAGTCCTGACTGTGGTGGCCATTTGGGGAGAGAACCAGCAGATGAAAGATCTCTCTACCTCTGCTTCTCCCTTCTCTGTAACTCTTTCAAATAAATAAATCTTTAAAAAGTCATTTCCTCTCTGCCCTTACCGTCCAGGTTTCCTGGTGGGTCACATTCTTCTTCCTCTTTTACCTCTGTTCACCTCTTCCTGCAGTCCAGTGTACAGCTGAATAGCTTTGCTCAACCCTGTACAGCTGGCAACACTCTTCCTTCCAGCTAGTCACTGATGACAGCTCTGCCCTTTGCCTGCTGCTACATTTGTTCATTTTTGTCCCACCAGTTTCTAGTCTGAAAGGAGGGTCGTAAAGAGCTGAGGAACAAGGTGGAACACGAGGAGCCAGGTAACACGGCTTGCGGGCTGGGAGGGTTCCTCTGTAAAAATCAATCAACGTGGCTGCACAGGAATATTCTGTCCCGTGACTCCCGGGTAGCAGATGGTTTCCTCGAGGCGTGTTTAATCTTGGAAAGGTGCGCGCACTGCAGCTATCCTGGTTATTAGCTCAAGGCTACCTCTACGGCCAGTGCAGCCTCAGCTCATCTGTTCTGGTCATAGCTGCTTCTCCCTGAATCCAGAGTTCAGGTCAGCGAGTTTTCAGGAAATGTAACTAGAGATCATTTCCCCCATGACATCCAGGGTAGAAATAAACACGACACTGCATTGGCTTCATCCACACACTGGGCATATGCAACTTTAATCAACCAAAAGAAAAAAAGTCCCAAATGTACAAGTGAAAAAAATCCAAACTGTTGACACAGGCTTAACTAATATCAGCTACTTTTATGTACAGCTGTATAAGTTCAAAAAAGCTATCCTATATGTATATACAAAAGTTGTTTATACACAGGTCTGTACATAAGGGTCTATACATTTATTTCCTCAGAACCCTTAGGTGCCACCTCTTGGTGAAGACACCAACACTTCATTCACATATCTTACAAAAAAGAAAGACTGTTTCCAGGAATGACAACACTGTGCCTCCTGTGTTCAGACCACGTAGGCCCCACTCAATTGGTTAAGATCCTTCTGTCATAATGCAGACATGGGGTGCGTGCCCCCTTCCCCCCAAAACAGCTTTGCACAAAGTGCTCCAAAGTAAAAAAAAAAAAAAAAAAAAAAAGCCCATAAACCCACCCAAGATGAGGAAGCAGAGTCCTGACTGGGTGCGGCCCTGGGTGCTGCTCACTGGCGGTACTCCAACTCGTCCACACTGATGACCTTGGCAGGCATGGAGGGCAGGGGCTGCTGGAGCACATCTGACCCAAACCACTTGGCAAGGCCCACGGGGGAGCTGCTCCGCTGGCTGGGGCGGTGCTCCAGTTGGGCGTGCACGTGGGGCAGGCCTGGGCGGCTGGGCGCGTTCTGAGGGGGCGTCTGGACGCTGACAGCTGCCGCCTGGGAACCAGAGCCTGGAGGGTGCAGAACTGTGGAGAGAAGGCAGGGCATCACCGAGCAGGAGGGGAAGGCATTCTCAGGCTCTTGCCTCCCTCAAGCCCTGTCCATACAAGGCCAAACCCCAGTCTGCACCAGATGACTTACTCTAGGAACTTCAGACAACTCCTTTCCAGAATGCCAACAACTCCCGAAGACAGTACCTGGGACAGCTATTCAGAAACCCGCCACAGCACCGAAGTACCAGCCTCCACCCTGGGGCCGCCCTCTGCTGGCCTCTCGGAAGGAGGCTCAGCCTTGTCTCCTAAGAGACCTGTGTCCCCCACACCATCAAGGCTGGTTCACTCCACTCTGCTCCCTCCCTCACCTT